AGTGATGTTAATTCTAAACAGTGCTCTTAATTTTCAGTCTAATAGTCATCAGTCCGGTAGTCATAACTGCTTTCTTGTTAGCTTTGCAAGCAGTTCTCTGGGACACAGTTATTCTGCCCTATTTTAACATTCCAGAGATTTGAGGAAGAAGACCTACAAGGCAGTATCCATGGAGTGGCAGCTGTAGCTCCATTTTAAAATAGCTCCATTTATTATATTTTTAAAATATGGTTGATTATATCATTGGCCATTGGTGATTGGTTCAATCTCCAGCTCCTCCCTGCAGGTCAGGAGTGGGAATGAAACTTACATCCCCCATCACATGATTGGTTCTCTGAGTAGCTGGCTCCCCATCCTCAAATGGGCCAAAAGCCACCTCATTAACATAACAAACCGCACCTTTGAAGCTCTCAGCACAGGGAATTCCTAGCGGTTTAGCTCTGTGCCAGAAATGGGTAAAGACCAAATATGTATTTATTATAAACTAGTGGCCCGGTGAACAAAATTTGTGTGTTGGGGGGGGGCGGGTGGCTTCACCCGGGCTGCAGCTGTAGGCGCTGGCACCCGAGACTGCGGGGTTAGCAGCTTCTCCATCTCCCAGGCCGCAGCCAGCCGCAGCCAGCCGCAGGCACTGGTGCCCCGGACCACCAGCAGGCGGCTTCGCCTGGGCCTGGCTTTGTCAGGAAGGATGTGCAGGTGGTCGTCCGGAAGACGGCAGGTCTAATTAGCATATTACCCTTTTATTAGTATCATGGTGTGTTTTTTCTCACCATCATTAACCATAGTAACTGTTGCTTATGTATTAAAGTTCTATTCCTGTTAAGTCTAGAAGCAGCCTCAGAATCCTTCTCACCATTCATCTTAAGTCTGATGCTTAGTAGATCAGAATTAATACCTCAGGTGAAGCCTCTTACTGCAAATGTATCCCAGAATGTCTGGCATCCTCTCTGCTTTATGATCCAGCTAATAATACATTGCCTCAATCATGTTGATTGAGGTCATTTTTCCCCTTGCAGTTTCTAGTAGTAGATTACCATCTATTGCCTAGGAAGCACAATTGACTGTATCCATGTAGATCACAAAATGATATTTTTCTCATCAATAAAATTTCATTCTTTCAGCATGAGTAGAGTACTTTTGTCAACGTATTGAGGTAGTAACAGTTTATAACAAATTGAGTGAATTACTGTTTCAGGTACTGTGCTGTGTCATACACAGATTTCATTTTATCTTTGCAACAACTCCATACAGTAGGTACTGTAATGACACAGATGAGAACACTGAG